AGAGGCTTCACACACATGGTGCAGATCTGGCATAGCATCTATTAAGTAAGGCCCGCCCACGCACACAGGGAACGGCCAGGCCTGTTTCAGCACCAAGGCCCACGATGACCAAGGGAGAGTGCACCAACTCTGAGGCCAAGCCAGGTGAACAGAGTGGGACTGAGCAGGTCTTTTTCAGGTCACGCTTTCTCCGACACAGAAACAAGGCCAACGGAGGGAGAACCAGGTTTCCAAGCCTGCAAGTGCAGGCCCATTGTCTGGGGCTATGTGCCCTTAAGAGGACACAGTCCCTGGAGAAATCGTGTGCCCATAGTAGATGGGGTTTAGTCAGCTCCCCTTTTTTTATTTTATTTTTTTAAGAGGTGTCCTTTATTTTATTGATTTTTTTACAGAGAGGAAGGGAAAGGGACAGAGAGTTAGAAACATCGATGAGAGAGAAACATCGATCAGCTGCCTCCTGCACACACTCTACTGGGGATGTGCCCGCAACCAAGGTACATGCCCTTGACCGGAATCAAACCTGGGACCTTTCAGTCTGCAGGCCAATACTCCATCCACTGAGTCAAACCGGTTAGGGCCTTTTTTTATTTTTATCTTTATTGTTGAAAGTATTACATATGTCCCCCTTCCCCCCCATTGACCTCTTCTAGCCCGCCCTTCCCACCACCCAGGCCTTTAGTCTGCTCCACTTTTGCAAATCTACCCCTTGTTCCAGAGTTGGCCTGAATTCACCACCACAGGTCTGAGAGTCCTCTTCACCTCTCTCGGGAAAGGCAGAAGTGAGCGCTCAGTGAGTGTGGGAGCTGGATCTGTAGCGTCACGAGCACAAAGGCACGGAAAATCGCTGCCTAAGCCACGAGCTCCGATTGCTGCTGTCCTTCTGGGCAGGAGGAAACCAGGCCATGCACTGTGGCTTCTTGCAACACAAGCCCCATTCCTTAATGAGGCTGATTTAATTTAGGGCAGTGGGAAGCTTTTGGGTTATTGGGCCGAAAATGAAGGCTTGTATTTCATTTAACTGCCCCACTTAACAGAAGACACTTTGCTTTTGTAAATTAAGGAATTATTTTCAAGTGTTAGAGGCCGCTGGGTGACCCTGAGGAAAGCCTCAAATGTGCTGAGGTTTGGGTGTCCACTCTGTAAACCTAACAGATTTGGGCAAACAACCCCAAAGCTTTTATCTGGCTTAGCAATCTACAGTTTTGTTCACCTCACTCCCTTCCTTCCACAGAGGTTCCTTCAAAAACCCATCTTCCAGACGTATTAAGTGGAAAAAGCAAGATACAAAACAATATCCTATATAATAAAGAGCTAATATGCTAATTAGACCGAACAGCCGAACGACCGTCTGAATGACATTCCAGACAACCTTCCAGATGAAGCTGGGGCTGCGAGGGCTGAGCCCCTGGCATGAATTTCGTGCATCAGGCCTCTGGTTATAAAATATTATCTTTAGTTTTAAAAACAAGGTGGGCATAAGAATGTGTCTCTGAATTTTATATGCACGAGGAACTGTGGAAGTGGGTATAGAAAGTTCTTAGCTGTGGGAGGAGGGGACAGGTACTGGTAGGTGGGGTAACTTTTTGTTGTGTATTTGTCCAGACAGTGACTGTGTTATCTATTCAAATAATTAAACCAAAGGAAAATGAAACAAATCCACCTCTTAATCGTATCCTTCTCTCTAACCTTCAGGTCTTCGGGTACTGTTGGGGACCACACATCTGCCTCCTGGGGATCCCCCCAAGTTCCCCATAGAGCAGTGGTTCTCAACCTTCTGGCCCTTTAAATACAGTTCCTCATGTTGTGACCCAACCATAAAATTATTTTCGTGGCTACTTCCTAACTGTAATGTTGCTACTGTGATGAATCGTCATGTAAATATCTGATATGCAGGATGGTCTTAGGCGACCCCTGTGAAAGGGTCGTTCGACCGCCAAAGGGGTCGTGACCCACAGCTTGAGAACCGCTGCCATAGAGGATCCCATCTACAAACAAGGAAGTTCAAAAAAGACAGCACAGTCTTCCCTGTGCATCCATGAAAAAATAATCACCTCTACCAGCTCCGTGGGCTAAGGCGCCGTGCGTGCATCATCCAAGGTCTCTGGCTGAGTTAACACCAATCATCACTTCGGGAGGAAGCTCATGGACACCGCAGAGGGGCAGCCCGGCATCCTGAAGGCTTTACAACTCATGCTCGTAAAACGTGATGGGAAAATTCATCTTGGAGGTTTACGGCCCACAAAATCCTCGATGTCTCTTTTATGGCTGCTTTTCAAGTTCTCGGCTGAGTGCTGAGTGGCTGACCTGCGCAAAAGCGGGGCTGAGCATCTTCCTGAATGGACAGAAGAGGGGACGCTGCCTCCCCAGAAGGGGTCTCCCAGGCCCCACTCCTCAGCCCCTCCGAATGGTTGAGGGACCATCTACTGCAGCTCTCATCCCCCGTGAAGAATTTCTTAGCAGCATCACCTCTGGCAGCTCGTGGTACCATGTGAGACAGCATCCTCAGCCCTGGTCTCTGCCTTTCCTTCTGGGCCAGCCTGTCCCTTCCTCTGCGCTCCTGCCCCATCAGCCGGCCTTCCCCAGCTCAAGCCTCCTCGGGGAGCCGGCCTGTTTCTGCTGCTCTCGGAATGCCCTGCGCAGATACTCTCTCTTCCTTGAGGGACTGTTCCTGCACAGTAAACACATCTCGTGGCAAAGATCCAAAAGCAATCATCCTGCAACGTTACCACCGGATCCTTGAAAGGAAAACGCCCGTGTTCTGCCCTGACCTCTCTCCCCTCCCAAACTTCCTGGCTTCTCGGTGAACCTATAGCACTATTGCAAAATACTTCTTGCTCTTCCAAATCGCAAAGGAAGAACACATT